TAGGAAACTTACACAATATTAGGGTGCTGGGAAGGATCTTAAGGAACACTTTTTTTTCTAGGTCTGTTCTGTCCCTGGGAGGTAAGTAAGGAACCACCAGATGCAGTTATGGAAAGGGAACTCTGTCTCCATCCTTGTGTTGAAAGTTCCTGATAGGGAACCATGGAGCCTTTGTAATCAGATGAAAGTTAGGAGAACCATGAATCCCAGGAGAAATATGTTAATGATTTTCTGGACTGTCTAAAAAATTTCAAACTCCAGGAATGGTGTTTTAATTTTCTGCATTCTCTGTGGGACTTGGGTTTCGCTAAAACCATTTCAGTCCTTGTTTTTCTTATTAAATTAGCAAGATTGACTTGAATCAGAATATACCATTATGGCTTGAAATGTTGAAAGAACAGGATAGATGGGCATGACAAATATCTCAGGTTCCATTTAGGATGTATGGGGGTGGAGGAAGAGGGGGAGGACTTGCTAAAATAATGATGATTTTTTTTTTTTCTGTTAAAAGTTGAAAAAAGGAAAAAAACAAAAAACAAAAAATGAAAATAGTGAGAAGAAGCTAAATTTATGTTTGTATAAGCTTATATTTGTTTTTCTGAAGAAAATTGGCATGGGATGCCCTTAAGCATTTTTGTTTGTGATGGGGAATTTTTATTCTGGTTTTTAAAGGGTTTTTGGTGTTTGTTTGCTTGCTGTTTTTTGCTTTAAATCCGTTTGTACTTAAATAACTAGCCAGATGCACTCAGAGGCTGTGACTGAGGAACTCAACTCATCTCACTCTCGTCTCCCACGAGACGACCATTTCCCTAGTACTTCTTGTTCAAGGCTTTCATTGTGGACTTTCTAAAATACGGATCTGAGGTCCTTTCACTTGTCTCCTGAAATATCTCTAATGGCTCTTCAGGCCCTAAAGCAGGCCCCAGCAGACTTTTTCTGTAAATGACCAAATAGTATGCATTCTAGGCTATGTTGGCTATTCAGCCTCTGTAGCGACCACTCAATGCTGCCATTGCACTGGACAGTATATAAGCAAATAAGGCTGTCTGTGTTCCAATAAAGCTTTATTGACAAAAAGAGGTGAATTTGGCCCTTGGGCCAACTCCTGACCTACAGGGTACTCTCCAGGTTTGTTGGCCTGACATTCAGGGACATTTGCCATTTGACCTCAGCCTGAACAACCAAGTTCCCCACTCCCATCCCTATGGTCTTTTAAAAGGCTCCACCCTTTTGCCTGTGCTGTTTCTGCACTTAAGTCTCATCTTTCCTCTGTTCTTTTCCTGTGAGTCAGATTTCCGCGCTTTATCTGATACAAAGTTCTTGTCAACTCCCCCGGGCCAAGTCTGCCCCATTCTCTATGAGACATATATTAACTTGTAGGTGAACACACTACAAACTCAGAACTGGGAAACCATGGGCCAGAGTTGCTGGAGGGGATGTGGGCAACAAAAACACAGCCAGGGCAAAACAGTGCAGATCCATTGTAGTCAGTACTGTCTGGGGGTCCTTTGGCATCGACCTCACGGCCCAGACAGGGAGTGAATGAGTGAGGGAAGCAGGGTCTAGTTTAGGGCATCAGGACCAGGGAGAGGATGCAGCCTGCTGGAGGGAGATCAGAGAGAAGCAGCACGCATGATTAATGGGATGGAGGGACTGACTCATGAGGCAAGATTAAAGCACTCTGAGGAGCTGGGGTACAGACCGAAAGGGGCAGATGATAGCAGGCTGCAAGTATGTGAGATGGATAAACACCCAGGAGGGAGCAGCTCGCTTCATTAGAGAGGTGAAAATGGGGCCTCCCTCAGAGAATGGGAAGGGTGCTCAGAAAGGGCACGGGTGACTGACAGGGGAGCTCAGTAGATGATGGGTGGGCCAGGGGCAGCTCTGAGTTGCTCAGACTAGAAACACCATGGAAAGGTCACCATGGGGTGACTCTTTCAGGGAAGCCTCTGCTTTTATCCTGTGGAGTCTCGAAGCCTGCTGTGACTGCTGACCTGGGCCTGCGAAAATATTAAGTACCAGTCATTAAATGTTTCAGCAGTCGTGAGGCCTTCTGCAAGGAAGTCAGCCTTCTGCCATCCCTCCCTGTCTTTAGTAGAACCAGAGATACTTGGTCCAAGCCCCTTCTTAAATCCAGGGCACAATCTCACCCCTGCCTGCTGGTGGATCTGACCAGAAACCCAGCCAGCACCTTGATTTACAGCTTCCTCAGTTGGCTCGTCTCCAATAGGGATATGGCTTGTCAGGCATTTTGGAAGACAAGATTCATTTGAAACTGCATTGACTATCTTCAGGCTTCAACATCAGCTTCCTGCAGGTATTCTCTGAGATTTTCTCCAGAGCTCGGAAGAGCAGATTCTGCTGTAGTCTGACCAAATGGTCCATATTGTGGTAGTTCCTCCATGGACTACTTACTGTCTTTAGTAAGACCTGTAGAGTAGCCATGCTCAATTTGATTGCACTTTCGAATCACTTGGGGTGTTTTAAAAATAGCTGTGCCTAGACTCCACTCGCAGGAATTCTGATTTAAATGGTCTTACTGTGTGTGGGTGGTGCGGGGTGGGGGAGAGGGGGTTGCTTCCCTGGTGACTCAGATGTTAGAGAATCCAGCTGCAATGCAAGAGAACTGAGTTTGATTCCTGGGTCGGGGCGATCTCCTGGAGAAGAGAGTGGCAACCCACTCCTGCACTCTTGCCTGGAGAATTCCATGGACAGAGGCGCCTAGTGGGCTACAGTCCATAGGGTCGCAAAGGGTCAGACACAACTAAGTGACTAACACTTTCACTTTTTTTTTTTCCCCACTCTGGAGGGGAAGGTACCAGGCATCAGAACATTTTCTTTAAGTTCCCCATATGGTTCTAATGTGTTGAGAACTGCCACGGAAAAACCTTTACTTGGGTATGATTATAATTCACACTGATGTTACTCTTCTATCTATCTAGCTAGCTAGGTACTGACTATGCTATCACCTGAACAGTTTTTCTAAAAAAGCAAGCATTTACCAATGGGCCATCTATGTGCTTGGCCCCTTGCTGGAGGCAGGGATCCAATGGGGAGCAAGAACGTGTCCCTGTCCCTGGGGAGCTTATGGTCCAGAAGATGATGGTCACTTAAGGCAACCCAGAGTGCTGACATGGTACCTTTCAGAGAATTCCATTCTGTGTGTTGCAGCTATGCTTAACTTGAAATTCTAAGTGCAAAGATAGAGGATGAGTCTCTCTAAGTGTACATGTTCTACTTAACTATGACTCTCAGGCCTTGCTTCAGTGATTTGTTTAGGAAGTAGAAATGCACTTGGTAGTAATAAGGGTAACAGCCCAAGGTCTTCATGAATCTTCAAGTTCCTGAAGCCAGCACAGCAGTGTTTTCCCAAGGTGGGAGTGTTGCGGGGCATCTAACATGGTGGCAAGATAAAAGTATATGAGTGAACTTTGAGGGGGGTTTTGGTAATCATGTATTTCTTTTACTGCTGCTGCTGCTGCTAAGTCACTTCAGTTGTGTCCGACTCTGTGCGACCCCATAGACGGCAGCCCACCAGGCTCCTCCGTCCCTGGGACTCTCCAGGCAAGAACACTGGAGTGGGTTGCCATTTCCTTCTCCAATGCGTGAAAGTAAAAAATGAAAGTGAAGTCGCTCAGTTGTGTCTGACTCTTCGAGACTCCATGGACTGCAGCCTACCAGGCTTCTCCATCCATGGGAGTTTCCAGGCAAGAGCACTGGAGTGGGGTGACATTGCCTTCTCCATTTCTTTTACTAGATATCATTATATGAATTGAAGTTACTGTAGGTATTCCAGCAAAAGAAAAAAGTGAGGAAAGATAAATAACAATACTGTAATGGTGATGGTTTAGTGGCTAAGTCATGTCTAACTCTTGAGACCCCATGGACTGTAACCCATCAGGCTCTTCTGTCCAGGGGATTTTTCAGGCAAGAGTACTGGAGTGGGTTGCCATTTCCTTCTCCAGGGGTTTTTCCTGACCCAGGAATCAAACCCAGGTGTCCTATGTTGCTAGCAGATTCTTTATTGATTGAACCACCAGGGAAGCCTTGACCGTATGCAGATATGGCAAAAATTGGGAAGATTTGATGCATGGATTGAAGTTTGCATAACTTCCCAGGGCTAAATGGTGCCCCTTGTGGGGAATATAGTGTTTCTAGCACAATCTCATTTTTTCTTTCCATCTCCTCTAAAGTTTTCTCGCCATCTGATGAGCTTTTTTCCCTGACTTGAGTACTTTCTCTAATGGTTTTAAGAGTTTCTAAAAGAGTTACTTTTAAGTCTTGACTTCATAGAAATATTGTGAGCTTGTTCATGGCATAGTTCTGAGGTTCCCTCGCATTCTTCCCAAAATTTCAAAGCACTTTCTTAACCTCTTCCATTTCTGTACCTTTCTCACACTAGAAGTAGCTTTCACTCTTACGGAACTTTTCACAGACAAGCAAAGAACTATGTAATTCCACAGAGTTCCTGAGGAGAGAAGATCATTGAGATGTGGATACTGGGGGCCAGTTAAACTAAGTCACATCATGACCAAGTGACTCATTTCCAAACATCAACCCATGACAACTAACTTTTCAAATTTCATATCTGAAAACTCTTGCAAAATATACAAGGTACACAAGTTTACGTATTAATGACAGAAACAGAAACTCTGAAAAAACCATGATCTTCTGAATATCCTTTTTATTTCTATTTCTGTTTTCAGCTGTGCTGGGGAGAGTGTTGACCACAAGTGTATGAATTTTAGAAACACTCAAGTAACATCTCTGTGCTCAGTTTGTTCTGTCAAAAGTTATATGAGTGTAGGTAACCTTGAGAATTCCTTACCTGAACAATAAAATGTCTTAGTTGTATGCTTCACTGTAAATTTAGTTTTTAAGTGTTCTTATCTGATACGCTTACATCAGCATCTTGCCTTGACAGATAATTTTCTGTGATAATCTTAAATAATTGTGTAAAGAGATCTCTAATGCCTTGTTTTATTTATAATTTGTCCCAGCTGTAGGCATTCAGATGAAACTTGAATTTTTCCAAAGGAAGTTCTGGACTGCCAGCAGACAGGTAAGTTATAATCAGCATGTTGAAGCATTAGCAACACTGTTATTATACAGGTGTTCACATTTGAGTACCCAGAGCCTAAAAGTGCCAGATTTCCGATGAATGTTTGTAAAATGAACTGCTGGGCTGCTCAGGTTACCTTTCATTTCAGTGCAAAATAAAGGACTGACAGCATGTTAGACACCACACGCTGAGAAAGCAGAGAATTTGCTCCTGAAAACAGCTGTAACTGTGAGATCAAAATAGTAACCGCCTTGAAGAGAAGTTTTTCTTCTAAATATCAGGGACTTTTGTGAATTTACGTAGTGACTTTTTAAACATCTTATGATGCCCAATTATTTGTGAATCTCTTTCTTTCTATTTTTGAAGGATTCTACATAGCTAGGTTATACTAAGCATGCATCTGCTTTCTTTGGCCGAGGGCTTCTCTGCCTTGGATGATCTGGGAACATTCTTTACTTGCACTGTGTATTCTGTACTGAGTAATATCAGTGGTGTTTGTTCAGTAACTCAGCAGGAATGGCAACACATAAGATGTTTCCATCTGTCCAAGTCTATATGTTGAGATGGTATATAGTTTCTTAAATGAAAATACTTTAGGAATTTATGCCTCAAGAACACAGAGTTTTTAAAAAGTCACTGGGAAACAATATAAAATTAAATAAATACTTAATTATATCTATTGTTACTGAAAGACTTGAGGTCTTAAAAAGATATCACTATTGAATAAAGCATAAATTAACATGGACAACATAAATTAAAATGAAAAAGAGCCAGGTTACTCCTAAGTTGTCTTTTTCAAAAATTCTTTATGGAATTTGTTACGGTATTCCTCTGCTTTATGTTTTTGGTGTTCTGACTGCAAGGCATATGGGGTTTTAGCTCCCCACCGAGGGATCGAACTCGCACCCCCTGCATTGGAAGGCGAAGTCTTAACCACTAGACCGCCAAGGAAGTCCCCCAAAGTGTCTTTTATGTTACTGTCTGGGGCTGGTACTCATCCTAGAGAGGGTGGGCAGACTCATCCTGGAGCATTCCCTCTGGATGAAACAGGCTAGGGCTTTGACGGGCTGTCCTTCAGTAACCAGGGGGCAGCCTCAGCAGATGCTGGTGTGTCCAAATGACATGTTTCCTTTCGTTTCCCCCTCACCTCGCAGTGCGCCTCTCTGGATGGCAAATGCTCTATCAGCTGTGACGATGAGGTATGATGGTCTCCTGGGCCTGTGTCTGCGCTGACCAAGTTGGGGCGGGGGGAGCAGTGGCGGCGGCTGAATAAATGAGGGTGCCTTCTCACAGGGGGAATGTGTCGCAGAGCCAGATCTAAGAGATTGCTGTGAACCAGTCTCCAAAAACCCAAGGACATTTGCTTTGTTTCTTTCTCTTTCTTCTCCCAATCAGATAGTTTTGGAGAGCTGGGGGAGTATGATTTAAATGTCCCATGAACAGCACTGTTGGGATTTTGGCATTTTATAGAACACGATACAAACTACTGACATTTGAAACTCTCACTACAATTCTCAGAGTTTTCTACCAATGTGGTACCTCTTTTCATCTTCTTAACCACCTAGTGAAATGGATAGGAATATATGTCCCACTTTGCAAAGGGGAAAACTGAGCATAAGGGAAATTAAATGTCTTGCTTAATTCCATGTAATAAAGAAGCTTAAAAATCTAAGCGTTGAAAACTCAGAATGTTGTGTCCTAGTATACTGTTTCCCTTCTACAACTCCCTTTCCCTCCCTTCTTTCTTTCTTCTTATCTCACTCCCTAAGTCTTGGGAAGACAAATTTGAATTCCACACATGAGCAGTAGAATAAAAAAGATATACCACTGTCCCAAGTTTGACCATCAGATTTAAGTTTTTATAGCATCCAGTCCCATGTACCTTCTGCCCCACATCTTAGATCAACCACATGTGAAGTAGCATTTCACCTTGGCTCAGGCAGCCTTCCTCTCTCTGAGTCAGCCAAACCATTAGTCAATACATAAAGTGGAGCTTATAAATGATCACTCATTTATATTCCTTCTGGTTACCACAGGAATTAAAGAAATCCTAACCAAACATCATTCCAACACAGAAAAACATGGATTAGAAGTATGTCCAAAAAGTAGGCAAACAAAAGAAAAGTAAGGAAATATAAAAGAGGGAATATAGGGTGAAGGTAAAGTACAAAGTGCTCAGTCCTTAAATATTTGCCAGTTTAAAGAGAAAAAAAATCATAAGAGCTGTATGAGTTATTACTATTCAAAGAGTAAAAGAAAAGTTCACGTTTCCTGACCATTAGATCAAAAATAATTTTCCCGAAGGAAAGAGTACCCTGTGATGTTTTATGACCTGTACCCTTTCAGTAAGTTTGGGAATGCCACTCATAGTCTAGTCAAGTGGCTTCAAACCTCTCCTCTGTCTTTAAGGCATTACTTGTCTTATTGTAATGCTCAGTTCAAGACAAACACAGCTCAACAGTAGCATTGGTTAATCAGTATCACGAGGCCATGTGTTAAGCTACTAACTCCAGTTTGTGTTAAAAGAACAGAGGACGGTTGGTTGGTTAGTCGGGTGACCGAATGGATGTCTGGTTGACTGGTGGGATTGATGGTGTTCTGGATAGTTGGTTGGTTGACTGACTGGTTTCTGGTTGATTGATTGGATGGACAAATAGTTGGTTGAACAATTTGATGAATAAAGTCAGAGGCGGTAATCTTCCTACAGCCTAACACTGCCTCCATGCATTCTCATACATAAAAATAAGTGGAAATGGATTCTCACTTAGAAAAGTGCAATCTATGTTACTTGTTCAGTGACTGATTTCAGAGGTGGTCTATCATAGTGGTTAAAGGTACAGGCTGTGGAGGCAGAGTAGCTTCACACTGTGGCTCTGAAAGTAATAAGCCTTGCCTTAGTTTCCTCAGCTATACAATGGGGATAGAAACACCCCCAGAGACATGGTGAAGATGAATGAGATAATACATGGAAACTTTATAGCAGAGCTCCTGACCTGTGGTAAGCCCTCAATAAACATTAGCTATCAAATGAAAATGTCTGCAGACACATCTTTCCCTTAGAGTAGTGGTTCAGTTGAACCCAAAACCTGAGGTGGCAGCCACACACACATTTTAGTCCTTGGGCGTAGTAAGCGCAAGGTAGGATGCCTTCCTCACTACTAATGTCTGCTTTAACAGCCTTGGGGATGGAGCCTTATTAAGATATCATTTTGAAGGTTCACACTTTGAAAATTAGTGTGGCATAGGCAGGATTGTTGAACTTGATCTGATGCTCGAATGTCCCCATTTTGCACTTTAAAGCTATCATCCATTTCCCATCTTGACTCTAAAGTTTTGGCTTCAGGCACCTAGTTGACATAGTTTTAAAAGGAAAAGCCAGGCCCCTTTCCGTCCTTTCAGCAGACTCTTTCCATGTGTCATTCCCTTTCATAGATTTTAACTAAGTCTTTGAGACCATGTCCCTCCACTCCTCCAGCTGCCCTCAAGTGATCAGGTCCCCATTAAAAACGGCTGTGCGGGCTCATTAAGTTCACGTGCTTCTGGCTTCTCCTCTCTACTGAAGACCTGGCGCAGCTCCCACACATTTATCAGACACACTTTGCCTCGGATCCGATCCAGTCCCTCTGTACCCCCCTGCAGTGGCCGCCCTGGGCCCTTGACTTGAGTGTCCTGGGCTGCTGGGTGGAGTCGGTCTGGCCAGATGTCTTCCAGGCTTATAGATACATCTTCGTGGAGGGCCTGGCCGTGGGCCTCACTGAGGACTTTAAGAAGCTCCATTCCCCCCAAGGGGACTGTTAGCTTCAGAACCTGAGAGGCAGTGTCTCTCACACTCACTCATTCCTTCAGGACCTATTTGCTGAGCCCTCCTGACATCCCTGGTCCCTCCAGCCCCTGAGGAGTCAGTGGGATGCAGAGTCAGAGATGGACCCTGTCCTCCAGGAGCTAACTGGTTAGAAGGGGAGATGAGCACATGTGCTTATCAGCGGACTTCTCTCCACAACCTCTTGCTACAAACTGTGTAATAATTTCTGTCTCCAAAAAAGTCAATGTGCAGCATTAAGATACTTATACAGAGGGCACAGAGTAGGTGCTGAGTAGACACAAACATGGTTCTTTGGGGACTCATAATGCACCTTGCACTATGCTCAACAATTTGCACTCACTGGCCTACTTAATCTTTTCTCTGAAATAGTTGTTGCTATCTCCATCATTCGGATAAGGACAGTGAGCCTGGGAGTGTTAAAAGGCTTTGCCCAAAGTCATACTGGTTGCGAGTGTCCAAGTCTCTGACTCTCGAGCTAGCATCTTAGCCTCAGAGCTAATACCACCTTCCGGGTAACTCAAGCTTGGTGCTGTGTTTCTCACTTCCAAGTACTCTCCCTCCCCAGTTTTCCTTACTATCTGTGATGGCCCAATTACCGTGGCCGAGTCTGGGGCTCTAACCTCAGGTATCTCACCTAACCTGCCTTTGTGACCTGAAATCAGACTTCTCTGAGCAATATTAAGGCAACAAGCAGATGAAGAAAGTTGCCTTTTTTTAAAAAAAGGCAACTGTCACCAGCTCTTTATTTCTGCATTTTTCAAACAACTTCATCTTTAGATGTTTTGTCATAGGGGGCTGTGGAGTGGATGCTTGCCATGTCTGTCAAAACTTATAGTTCCTGGTTTGCCCAAGCCCTTCAGCCTGTCATTCTGCCCTTGTGACAAAGGGATGGGGAGACTCCTGAGAAGTTTGGCTTAATTTGGGGCAGAAGTAGCATAGTGAGGGAAAGCCGACAAAATCTCTCTTCTATTTCCTTTTACTAGAGGAGGGAGAATGGAGAAGACAATTAACTACTGTAAAGAGACATAGAGAAAAGCTCCATTCCCCCCAAGGGGACTGTTAGCTTCAGAACCTGAGAGGCAGTGTCTCTCACACTCACTCATTCCTTCAGGACCTATTTGCTGAGCCCTCCTGACATCCCTGGTCCCTCCAGCCCCTGAGGAGTCAGTGGGATGCAGAGTCAGAGATGGACCCTGTCCTCCAGGAGCTAACTGGTTAGAAGGGGAGATGAGCACATGTGCTTATCAGCGGACTTCTCTCCACAACCTCTTGCTACAAACTGTGTAATAATTTCTGTCTCCAAAAAAGTCAATGTGCAGCATTAAGATACTTATACAGAGGGCACAGAGTAGGTGCTGAGTAGACACAAACATGGTTCTTTGGGGACTCATAATGCACCTTGCACTATGCTCAACAATTTGCACTCACTGGCCTACTTAATCTTTTCTCTGAAATAGTTGTTGCTATCTCCATCATTCGGATAAGGACAGTGAGCCTGGGAGTGTTAAAAGGCTTTGCCCAAAGTCATACTGGTTGCGAGTGTCCAAGTCTCTGACTCTCGAGCTAGCATCTTAGCCTCAGAGCTAATACCACCTTCCGGGTAACTCAAGCTTGGTGCTGTGTTTCTCACTTCCAAGTACTCTTCCTCCCCAGTTTTCCTTACTATCTGTGATGGCCCAATTACCATGGCCGAGTTTGGGGCTCTAACCTCAGGTATCTCACCTAACCTGCCTTTGTGACCTGAAATCAGACTTCTCTGAGCAATATTAAGGCAACAAGCAGATGAAGAAAGTTGCCTTTTTTTAAAAAAAGGCAACTGTCACCAGCTCTTTATTTCTGCATTTTTCAAACAACTTCATCTTTAGATGTTTTGTCATAGGGGGCTGTGGAGTGGATGCTTGCCATGTCTGTCAAAACTTATAGTTCCTGGTTTGCCCAAGCCCTTCAGCCTGTCATTCTGCCCTTGTGACAAAGGGATGGGGAGACTCCTGAGAAGTTTGGCTTAATTTGGGGCAGAAGTAGCATAGTGAGGGAAAGCCGACAAAATCTCTCTTCTATTTCCTTTTACTAGAGGAGGGAGAATGGAGAAGACAATTAACTACTGTAAAGAGACATAGAGAAAATAATTTATCCAGACTTGAATCTGGCTAATTCTACTCTGATTCTTTCATAACGCAGCACTCCGCTCACTTAACTTCAGGGGCCTTACTCCATTCCACTGTACTTCCCAATAATTTAATCCAAGTGGTTGTTGGCAGGGAGATGTTTATGAAGTTGTTACAGTGACTGAATATCCCTAATGTAACAATATTGCCTGTAATGAAAATTAAATGACACCTTTCAGATTAAGGGACCCAGTTCTACATCAGTGACACAACATCCTTGCTTCTGACCTGTGATTTTCTCAGTGATTTGTCAATCGCAAGGTTGACAATATCTGTTGCATACTGTCACTCCTGTTCCTTCCACATCGGATGAGAGTAGAAACGGAGGTTGATACCTGAGAAGTGAGTCTCCTAATGCCCACTCCAACGTTGATTCCATGCAGTGCTGTCCATTATAAGGGGCACGAGGTCATCATTTCCAAGAAATGAGGGTGGGGAAAGAACCAAATATTTATGTCAAATTATGAAACATTTTATTGAAGCTTCATCTCTAAATAGAGTGGAAATGGTGAAATATATTTATTTTACTTAACAAATTTAAACTTAATACATTTATAACTGCAGTCATATCCTAATTCTGTTAACAAAAAACACGTTTGGTTTGGGAGTAGGGAGTATAATATTTCAGATAAAATTATAAAAATCAAAATAGTTAATCCTTCACTTTATATTTGATTTTCTCAAAGTGATCACAAGGGAGGTCAAATATAGTGAAGTCTAATCAGTTTCCCCAGGAGCTTCTCTGAGTCTCTTCCTTTTGAAATCATTCTCTCTGGGAGTGTCTTTCATGTTACTGGTGGTGATGTTGTGTTTTTCCTGCATGTTTTATCTCTTATGGGTACTAATGTGGTTTCATGTGTGATTGGAGCTGATCTCCAGTATCACCTTCATAGACTTCAGGAAATATTGCTTCTTTCCCAAGGTTTTTAGTTGCCTTGTGTTTGTCCTGTATTGTCTAATATTTGCAGAGAAAGACTGACCACAAAGTTATAGGTCTAATAACAGTAATACCAATTGACTAGGGATGTTTGAGTAGGAATTTATTTTATAGTTAGGGATGGAGGGTGAGTTATGGTGACTTTGGAGAGTCAGTATATGGAGGCCACTCCTAGGCTCGACAGGTAGTTTTATTGATTGAATGAAGGTTAACCTCCCTTTGCATCAAGGTCTATGTCTCCAATTTGTCTCATATGATCCAATTAACTTAAAATTAAACATAAATCTGCACATACTTCATGGCTGCCATATTGGACAGCCGGGCTCGGCAAGTGCTTTCATAGTGCTGTGTCCTAGAAAAGGGGAATATTTGTCAGGACTCTCAGCTGGGCCAATGTAGTGTCCAGCCAGCCAAGGGCTTCTGTGAAGAACCAGAGTGTGACCTTCATCTGGCCCCTTTGAATAACCGAGAGGAACTTGCTCACCAAAGCAGCCAGCTCTTTTCTGAAAGGTGCTAGCAAGGCTTTTAATTTCCTGCTGAATCTCCACCATTACCTACTAATAAAGGATGCATCTTTCTGACTAGCTTACTGCTGTACTTTTGTGTCTCGCTAGAATCAACTCCATGGATAAGTAAATGTCCCAGAAAAATACAACCCTGCAGTGGCCTGGAGTTAGGGGACTTTAGCTCAGGGTAAAGATATGTTACAAATTAAATGTTGCAGTCGGTATGTAAAGCTGCAATAAATAGAAACTGAGTTACATCAAGGATGGAATTAAACCTTAAATTTAAACTCCACAGCACTGTAATTAAAACTTAGCCTGTAGCAAATCATTCACTTGAGATTAAAGTAGTGTGGGGGAAGCAGAGGTTTGGGCTTACCTTGCTACAATTTATAAGTCTGAGCTACCAAAAGCTAACAGCCCTGCCCCCAAATCCAGCTCCCAATTAAAAACACAGTTTGAAAACCTTTAGGAGGCCTGAGGGGCCCCTTTAACAGAAGTCTGCCCCTTCCCCCCTGCCTAAGTCTATGAACAAATTAAAAAATATTACCTGGTCCCCTGATGGTCTTCTGAGCTGACACGGTGTTTTCATTAATACATCATTAGAGTAATGGCATTGTGCTGTCGTTTTGCTTTCAAAACAGCCTGCACTTCAACCACTGTTAATACAGGTTCAGAGGCCTCTGGACACTTTGTTCCTGGGAAATATTATTCAGGTCATATAAATTTTTAAAAAGGAAGACAAACTGTAATGAATAATTTTAAAATGTATTTTCTTTTTATCCCAATCTGGGATGTTCAAGGCTTGCTTAGTGTTTTAGGTTTATTTGTTAGTTTTGCAAAACAAGTGCTGGGGTCAGCTTAACTTCGGCCTTAACTCCAAGAGCCAACTGGCATTTCCAGTTCCCCCAAAACAGCCTAAAATACGTGTCTCTCAAGTTGGAAGTACATCATTGCATGTAAAAGCAGTCTGAGGACCCAAAATTGAAACTGTGGTGTTTTTATTTTCTAGACTGTGAATTGTTACCTCATAGACAATAATGGATTTATTCTGGTATCTGAAGACTACACTCAGGTGAGTGAGGAATTTCTACCTACTCACAGTAAGGATCCCAGACTGTGCTTGGGTCAGGGGAAGTGAAATATGGTGTTGAAACTTTGAGACAATGATCTGTATTTAAGAGGTAATAGCAGGAGATTATAAAACATTATTTCCACCCCTTTAAGAATGTCACAGCCTACTTCTCAGCAGGCCCCAAAGAGATTTTACCTCCAGGGAGGAGAGGAGGGGTGCAGAGCCCAGGGTCTGCTCTCTTACACATAAAATGTTCAATTTATAGAACTCTTTACCTCAAGTGTGGAGGTGCCTGAAAGAGTTTGGGTAATTTTAAGGAGGTTTCCTCCTTTTAATATTTTGATGTTTTATCTTTATATATAATTTATACATCCACACAAATATATGTATGTATGTATGTCAACATAATTATTCTTTATGGCTTTCTTTCTGGTTTTTCCTTTTTAAAAGTCAGTTATCTGGGTCCAAGGATTAACTTGGGTTCTCAACACTGAGGGCCAAGAATCCACATGTAGATGAAGAATGTTTTTCATTTGATCCAGCCGTGTGCAGTGTGGGGGCAGGAGGGAGAGATGGAAAGAAACCACACTAGGGTGCTCAGCAAAGAAAGCTCCACTTTTGTTTGGAAATCAAAGTAAGAGTTAAAATCAATAGCATTGTAAGAGAGAAACGTGAGTTTCTCCTTTAAAACTTGGTGCCTGAAAGCTTTCTCTGCAGTTAGAAATGAAATTAGCATGTTAAACTCAAATCCAAATCAGTGTAGCCGTATGGTGTAGGAAAGTAACAACAGGTGGAGGCAGATGGTTTCTGATGTGAGCTTTCTTCCTTAACTCGATTAGGGATATTGGGTACATCCCTTAACTTGCCAGGACTCCTGGTGGGTTCTATGAACAGAGGGTGGTTGACTGCAGAAGTTGCCTTCTAACTCTAATACTTGAGGATGCTAGCATTTTATAATGAGGTTTCATTTACATCATTTAAAGTGTTTCAATAGTCAACAGTGTGATAGACCCATTAATCCCTAATAAATTAGTTAATTGTCCTTAAGTGTGGCTCCTTAGGGTCTGAGCTCCGTGGCTTGTTAATTTGTGAACTCTGGCTCCAGGTAATATGTGGGACTGTGCTTCGGTTTTCCCTCTTATCTGTGAGAATGTTGTGGGATTTTAAATGTACCTTTGGTCGATGATAATTACATAGTTGAGACTCAAACTGCCCACACATGGTCTCCTCGGATGCTGGACGTCACTGGATGTTGGACAGTTGATGGACATTAGATAGGAAGGATAAGCACGTGAAACGCGGTCGGTTTCTTGGGAGCAGGAATGGCCATAGAGAGGCCTATAACATACCCCTGTGTCTGGGAGGGCTGAGAACCCAAATTAATCCCCTGTGAGGAGGAGCTCTGTTGTCCTGCCATAATCATGGAGGGCTGGGATGAGAACCTGACCCTGTGGGAGGGGCGGGGTGGGGGGCGGGGGACGACATGGCAGATGTCTTTAAGTGCTGAGTCTTGGACCAGCCAACAAAATGAACCGCTGAAATAGTGACCTCTCCTAAGCCATAGCCGCTACATGTGGTCTCTGTTCCCTCCTTTACTTCTGGGTAGAATAGCCCATGGAGCCTGCCCTGCCTCGGCTTGTTTGATGTCTGGTTTCCTGTACCCCAATTAGGTTAATTCTTCTTCATCTAACAACCAGTTCCATTGACACTGGCATATTTACACACAGGAAATGTGCATGTCCTTCTTGCTCCCAACAGCAGCACATACCCACAGAGTTTGCCAAAAGTTCAAGTTTCCCTGGAGTGAAAAAGGCAATGCTCAGTCTTCAGTCAGTGAAATGTCATTTCCTTCTTTCCTCCTCTTTTCTGACTGTTTGGCAAAGCCTGTATGTGCCCTTCTGCCTGAAGACTCCTAAGAGCCTACTTGAGGTCACACCATTAGAAGGAAATCAGGATTTAGTTAATACAAAGTCTATGGACTTTAGGTAGGAGCTTCCCCAGTGGGACAGCTGTGAAGAATCTGCCTGCCAGTGCAGGAGACACAAGTTCAGTCTCTGGATCGGGAAGATCCCCTGGAGAAGGAGATGGCAACCCACTCCAGTATTCTTGCTGGAAAAATTCCATGGACAGAGAGCCTGGAAGGTGATAGTCGGTGGGGTTTCAAAGAGTTGGACATGAATGAGCACATAGCACATGTGGAATTTATGTGATTTGGGCTCTGAGTGTAATGCCCTCTACTCTCCGCCACATAAGATACACATTCTCAGAGCACCCACAGTAGAGATGGGGATTCTCTGCACTGGCCCCTTCCAGTCTGTTGGCAGAGGAAGGCTGTTGGTCTAAGCTCTGTTCTGCCATATTGAATACATCATCCCCCTTGGCTCCAGGAGTCTGGAGGAATGCCCGAGGATGTTAATCCTTCATCCACCATTCAGAGTTTGCAAATCTCGACCAACACCAAGAACTAGACTTGCGGAAGCATAAGCTTAGCACTGGGGGAGTGCCCTGAAGACAGTCCCAGAGCCAGAGTCAGCCACTGGAAGTCTGACTGGCCGAGCCTTCTCGTCTCAGATCTGGACAGCTTTATTCTTGGTCAACATATTAGCTGCCTACAGACAAAATGAAGGTGTTCCTCAGAAAGTGACTTAGAGAAAGCAAGGGTTTTCCACTGTAGGAAATTTATAGAGCCGATGAAGAAGACTGCTGTATATCCCTAAACAGGTCATTTAGGAATTATAAACAGTTCTTTTTATTACTGCTTAGGAAGCGCTTTCACAGTCTGTTTCTGTCTGTCTGAAGTAGTGTTTTACTCACAAGGAATTGAGAGCAGGTTAATGCCCAGTGCCTCCTGTCAAGAGTGTATGTGCTCCTACATGTGTGTGTTTCTGCACATATGTGCACACGTGTGCATGTTTTGTTTCCAGCACTTAGCACATGTTATGCAATGCCACTCTTACCCCACCCCCACCCCTGCCATGCATTTGAAACATCCACATCTGCTTATTTGTTTGCTCTGTAATCCCATAACTTCTCATGACTATTAAGACCTTTTCCATGTTTATGTAACAGTAGTCCTGAAAACCTCCTCTTGCCCCTGTCAGCTCCAGGACACAAACTGTGTCCATTTTTATTTCTTCTCTGGTGTTTGGGCACATTATTTATCTACACTTCCTCTTGGGTCGTCTTTTCTTCCCCACAGACTGGAGACTTTTTTGGTGAGGTGGAGGGAGCTGTGATGAACAAATTGTTAACAATGGGCTCCTTCAAAAGGTAAGGATTTTACGGTTCCTTGCGCCGCCCCCCCCCCCCCCCCCCCCCCCCCCCCCCCCCCCCCCCCCCCCCCCCCCNGAAAGGTTGCCTAAATAAAATAAAACAAACCAAGGTCAAATAAAGCAAGCCCAGACTTGACCCCATGGCTGTGTTCATGCTCCAGAAGATCTCCTGAAATTTGATGCCTTTTGCACGAGTGTTAAGAGTCTCAGAAACTCAGCTCACAATGCGTTCCCTGTTCCCTTAGCACAGTATTTACTAGAGGCTGGTCCTGAAGTCAGAGCCTGCACTGGAAGGAGATTATATTGGTCTGAAGCGAGTGATTGCAGAGAAGTAGGAACCATTTTCATTTGGTCAAAAAAGGAAGAGAATGTCTTGCCCCACACTGACGAACTGTGAAACTTGCTAGAAATCTGGAACTCAGGGATGGAAAGTGATGGTTAGAGACTCCATATAATTTTAGAAAATCAAGTAAAAATTCACAAAACATGCTCCCAGATGGAGATAAGTTGAAATCTGCTGCTAGAACACAACCAAGAGGTTTCGGAATTCGTGGTAGGGACCACTCAGTTGAGTTGCAAGGGCTCTTGCTGACTCTGAGTGATGCTCACAGCCCCGTGTCCCCCATGGGCAGGCCGGCCATACTTGTGGGAATACCAGAGCTGATGGGAAAGGACATCACCCTGCGAGATCAGGACGCCGGTGATGTGCCCCCAGGAGTCAATTCTTCCTCACCTCAGCCTCCCAGGGAGAATGGTGGCCTCTGAATGGTACTTTGCTGGACATATTTGATGCTGTTAAATATATAATATCAGGAAATACAAGGATAGAACCCAGCTCTCCTGTGAGAACTATTGCACATTGGGTGCCAGTGGGAAAGACAGTCCCCGAGTTTATTACTCCCCTGCAGCTGAATGGACAGGAAGTGTTAGCTCAGGAAATCAGACTTTTAAGCTAGTCAACAAGACCAACTGAGCGCTGTGCTGAAAGCAGGGAATTCAAAAATGATGACCCAATTTTTGAGATTCTGTAGCTTGTTTGTGCCAGAAAGAGGGAAACAAGAAATGATATGTTAAAATGGCATAACTCCAGCACTTCTGAAACCTCTGACACACTTGCTTTCCAGCCCGCCTGAGCGTTCACCCCTGCTAGATTCCCTCTTTAAAATTCAAGTACATTTTTTGCCAGGAACCATTGTACATAAGCCTGAAAACTGGGCATGGAGCTGGCCTGGGGTTGCTGTGCTGGATTGTCTGCCATCCGAGGCACCCCTGGCTTCTCGTGTCTTTACATGGTATACGTTTGTATTGTTTTAGCTTGTTTTCAACTTGGTGGGGGTAGGGAGAGACAAAAGAGGGAGAATAATCACACACGTGTTTCTCATTTGAAAGCATATTTTTCAGCTTTTTTTTTTTCTTTAACAAAATTACTTTCTTCCCCCCTCTTCCCTCTTGGATTTTCCCTTCAAACAGTTTGGTGGGAGAGAGGAAAGGTTAAAGCAGTATTTTAAGTTCCTAGATTTCTCGTTACTGTGGGTGAAGTATGAATGACTTGAATTTAGAACTTTCTTCTACAAAAGTGGCTAACATCTGAGAAAGGGGGAAGGCTGGGACTCTCTCCGCGATTTTAACAGCAAGTGCTGTCATCCGGGAATTACCTGACAAACCTCCTAGGCCTCTTTGAAAGACCCCCTCATGAGGCCAGGACAGAAATTACAGTTTGAGATTTGAAGTCAGATGGATTGGGTTCAAATCCAGGCTCTTGACATTTTCTAGCTGCATGGCTCAGAGTTAGTCATGTTACCACCCCAAGCTTTGGTTTCCTTACGTGAAAAATGAAGATGCTAATAATAATTATTTGCAAAGGTTTCTGTCAGAGTTAAGGAGATAATAATAAGCATAAAGTTCTGACACAATGCCTGGCATATATTAAAGGCTCCATAATTGCTAGTTGCTGCTATGATTTTTGTTGCTGTGGATCTTTGATTTTCCTTTTTACCTTGCACCAGATGACTCTTTAATTCATATATTTTACAACAGGCTTCCCATGACACCTGGCGATGGGGTCTCCATCCAGTGTTGGGGTACTGCCGTCCTTTTGGAACTCAGACATTCATGCCCTTGCCTTTTCCAGCATGCTTACTCAGAGAATAAGGTTGACAGTCCTTTTTATCAGAAAAAGTCTGTATTTTAGAAGCCCTGAAAGGATGTAGCCAAAAGTAATGGTGTGATGTCAGGCACCATATTTAACCGTACCCCACTCCCAAACACAGGGTGCATGGAGGCTGAGTTGCTTTGGTGACGTGGCTGAGCCCTGGTAAAGGTCAAAGTCCATTCACCTAGTTGATCTGCCATCTCAGCACGTGTCCTGGCACAAAGTTTCTTCGTTTGGTCTGCTCATACCCAGTCCTAAAGAAACTCCTTTCCCCTGCAAACCATCTTCAGAACAGCAGAGGTCAAAGTGAAGAATGAATGCCATCTCCCTTCATCAACCTCCTTTTATCTCTCTCCACTGGTCCATAGTCACTGCCTCTCTCTCTGAAGCAAGGCGATGCTTGCCTACTTGACATGGACTCTTTCTTTGGTTGCTTGGCCACTTACCAGGTGTCTTGATGGCTAGTCCACTTAGCAGTGCCGTCAGAGGGAAAGAGCATCTGCTTGTGGTCTGCAGTGCCGTGTGGGAGGAAGAGAAGTCACTGATTTGTGCAAACAAATTACCAGCTTGAGGGAGCTTTGAGAAGGTTCTTCAGCTTCACATGCAAGCAATCTAAGAGGTATAGTGGTCTCTCTTGGTTGCTTAGGCTGAGTCTTTGATTCAACTCTATCCACCCAGCTTATAGAAAACATAATGCTCAGGGCCAGATAACACATGTGGCCTCAGCAATATAAGAATAATGCAGGTGGCAGTAGCTGTCTTCCAGGAGCACCTCCTACATACCAGGCCTAGGTTGCAGACCGATCTTAACTCTTGCAGTCCTTTCCAACAACTCGAGAGACAGGTATAAGCAGGACCAGTGCCTAATCTGCAGTGTCCAGTGCAAAACGAAAATGGGGGACTTTGCTCAAAAATTACTGAGAATTTCATGACAGCAAGAGCAGAGCAGTAAACACAGCATGCAGCCCTTCTAAGTGGTAGGGTTGTGTGCAATTACACAGGCCACGTGCCCGTGAAGCTGGATCTATGTGTGTATACGTGTGTGGGTGTGTTAGTTGCTCAGTCATGTCCGACTTTTTGCGACACCATGGACTGTGGTCTACCAGACTTCTCTCTCCATAGAATTCTCCAGACAAGGATACTGGAGTGGGTTGCCATTCCCTTCATATATATATATATATGAAGTGGAGCTTGGAAAGGTTAAGAAATTGTCTCCATATAACAGAGTGGTAACAGAACTGGATTCAAACACCCTGCAGTCTAAGCAAGCATCGGGAGAATTTTCTAGCCTCTGCTTTTTACCTGGTTCTATATACAGTAGCATTGTGTAGCGCATGGCACTTCCTTCAGTTTTGTCTGAGACAAAGTGAAGCATAGCCAAGGAGGATGTTGGCTCAGCAGTAACTTATCTGGGTGAGCAGAACTTTCAGGAAGGGAGGCTAGCCGAATGATAAGATCACCCAGATTTCTTTTAACTGAAGTTGATAAATCATTAAACCAAGTCATGTTCCCAGGCTTCACATATTTTCTCATAAGATACCATATTCCTGGTCAGCTTTTTGTGTTTCAAACAGAGAACTTGAAACATTTCTTTATTCTTATCATGGAAAGTAAATGAACTCCCTAAGTAGCCCTGACTCATTTAGGGCTTTTCATTTTAGCTGCTTTCTTTTAACTCAAGCTCATGTCCAGTGAGAGCTTGTATTCATTTCTCAGAAGCCGCACTCTATGGCAGTGACATTGCCCTTTTCAAAACTACTAAAAGAATATCTGCTTTCAAAATATTTTTATTAGAATTCATTTATTTCCCCACCCCTTCTTGCCCCCAGTGATGCTAACTCAATGTCAAATATCTAGGGGAAAGTGAGAAAAAAATATATATAGCTCATCATAGGAGAGTCCAGGTTTCTAATAGAGTTTCTTTGATACATGGGACTTGAACCATGAAGACTTCAGTTTGAGCCTCAGAATGGCCACTGTGTGGACTTGGACAGATTCCTCAGACTTTCTGAGCCTCAGTTTATTCGTCAGCAAAATAGGAATTTCAGTGAGATGGGACTTTTGTGAGACTCAATTAAAATAAGAGAAGTAAAAATGCTTTGCAAATTGCAAAGCTCCTACACCTAGGAGGTAAAAGATTAGCTGTTGGATAAGATCTCCAGATATCTGAAATTTTTTTTTCTTCTAATTTTCTCCCCTCATTTTAAAATCACTAATAACCCCCGACCCCCAAAGTAGTTACTGCACATCAGTGGCCTCCACAGTACTGCACTGGGGGTGGGTCTGTGGGCCTGAACTCCACTACTATCCCTGAAGAGCTTTGAGAACACACCTCTGCTCCAGCTGTGCCCCCACAAGATTCATATTAAACTAGTCTGGGGATGGAGCATCCATGCAATTTGCAGGTACTGACAGGATCAAGAAATACAAAGTTCAGTGCACCAGGGTTCGAGTCTAGGGGCTACCTACTTTGAAGCTGTCTGACTCTTGGCAACTTTAGCTCCATAATTTTGGCTTTTTTTTTTAATAGCAAAATAAAATCAAAAGAATGATTTTTATACCTGCAGTGAGAGTTAAATGGAATAATGCATGCTTGTACCAAAGATCCTTGTGGTCTCTGCCAAAGGGTCTTCTGGTGTTCCTTTGTTCTCTGTGTATTAGAGGGAGCTTAAGAAAGGGAAGACCAGTGGGTATACCTGGCCCTTGACTTGCAGAGAAATGAAGGTAGCTCTAGTGGTAGAGGACCTGCCTACCAACGCAGGAGACAGAAGAGACACAGGTTCCCTGGGTTGGGAAGATCCCCTGCAGGAGGGCATTCCTGCCTGGAGAATCCCATGGACAGAGAA